CATTGTGTAGCTTTGTGCTTAATTACAAACAAACCGTATTTATAATTGAGATTGTTTTTTTTTTTCGAGAGGGTGGTACTTTTTAAAATTTTAATTATCATTTCGCAAATTGTTTAAGATATGTTTAGAAAAATCAAAAAAAAAAGTAGTGAATTTATTTAATCACTATTTATGGCCCTTTAACACGAATTTGGGGAACTTTACATATTGAAATTTTAGTGACTGTTCTTCTACTTACACCATCTTTAGAGCATCACAGTTAAGAAAAAGGCGATAAGTTTGTCCTACATTTATAAGGATTTAAAAAGTAGCTAAGCATTAGGATTATTTTACCAGCGCATTAGAAAAAAAAAAAAATTCATTATCTGTTCACAAAAATCTTCCCATATGGTTACAAAAGCACGGCGAGGAAATTCAAATATGATAACAGCAATTTAAAACATAGACGTTTGATAAATATTTTGTATGAATTGCGTTCAGTTGAAACTAGAATAAGGATAATGGTCGTTCATTCATTTTGATATGTTGGTGGATATTAATGTTTTACATATTATAAGCCCGAATGCAAAATGTGCCGAACTTTCTTTACGAGTTCTCAACACCAGATGCCTTCTGACTAATTATAGGAGTTTTTTTAAAATCTGATATATTTGTTATCTAACCGAAATTAGGAAACGTCACCCAGAGTCAGTATCATTCTGGTTTTGTGTTTTATTTGTCCTTTGTAAATTAAATTGGTCCACTTTGTAGTGTTACAATCTTGTTTTTTTTTCTTCTTCTGTTATTATAAATGTATGTATATTTTATGTAAAAGGAAATTCCACTGTCTTTATTAAACTGTGCTCTATCTCTCTCTCTTCGCCATTCTCGAGGAGTTCTTCATTTTGTATTCCAACATACACATCAATCCTGCTCGATACATACATAGAGGGCGCTTATTTCAAACTAGTTTATTTACTAAATTGGGTTACTTGAAAGAACTTTCAGCCATCGGATTATTGATTTGATAATTACACTCTCGGGATAATAAAATACAAAAATAATTTCATATAAGCACGTTTTAAAACCATACCCTGATATCAAAACCAAAAAGTTGACGATCTATATACCAGCCGGTATGGAATACATTGATCTAACATCACTTTATTTCATATGTGGTTGCAATTATTTTTCCACACTCTTTTGCATACGTACTCAGTTCTTTGTCCATGCCTTTCCATTTTACATGCAACTCTTAAAATATAGCATTCTTTGGTAATGTATAAAGTGATGAATGTCTAAAAAGATATTGAATTACTTGATACAAGTAACTACACGACCGTGGGTAAGCTGAAATGGTCAACTAGCTTTCTGTAGACATTTAAAATTGATTTCGAGGACATTTAAGCCTTCTTCGGTCGTATGTATGAAAAGAAATGAATAATTAATATCCAAATTTGTAATAAGTATTTTTTCATATTTTTAGAATTCAATGTATTAAGATACCTATCAGTTAGCGCAGGTGCATTAGAGCTCCTGGTCAGTTAGTGCCGTTACGTTAGAGCTCCTGGTCAATTAGTGCCAGTAGGTCAGAGCTCCTGGTCAGTTAGTGTCGTACGTTAGAGCTCCTGGTTAGCTAGTACCAGTAGGCTAGAGCTCCTAGTTAGATAGTGCTGGTAAGTAAGAGCTCCTGGTTAGCTAGTGCCAGTAGGCTAAAACTCCTGGCCAGTTAGTGTCGGTACGTTAGAGCTCCTGGTTAGCTAGTACCAGTAGGCAAGAGCCCCAAGTTAGATAGTGCTGGTAAGTAAGAGCTCCTGGTCAATTATAACCCCTGAGCAGTAGGTTAGAGCTAACGATCAGTTATTGCCAGTACGTTAGAACATATAACCAGTTAGTGACGGTGAGTTAGAGCTCCTGGCCATATACGTTTATGGTAGGCCATTGGGTTAGACCTACTTGTCAGTTAGTGCCGGGAAAGTAGAGCACTGAACCAGTAGTGGCGATGGATAAGAATACCCCTTCATTCAATAGAAATACGTCTCAATTTCGTTACAATATTCTACATACATATATTTGATTAAAATACAGTATACATTTAAAGGTGATCCTGGCAAAAAGCAGTCATACTTACTAAATGTTTTAAACGACTTCATTCAGTTAAGTAACGCTTTTTTTTTATCGTAGCGTCACTTCTGCCTATTTAAAATAGTCTCCTCAAACCGTTGTGACGAACGTATATCAATCGTTGTCATTGTTTGTAAACTACATGATCGTCTAAATCTAATTATTAATTAGTTAACGTTTTTTACTAGATACCAGTTAGTAATTAGTCCATTAGCTACGACAGCTAATTTTTTCTGGTATGACACGTTTCGTAATACTTGAGTAAAGTTTTCTGTATTAACATTACCTTTTGTGTGTGGTGGCGGTGAGTGTATTGTATTATGTGATATTAAGCTGTATAAAACAGAACGAATTTGTATATAACTAAGTCATTGTTTGTCTTTTCTTTACAATTACAAGAAACAGTGGACATGCCAAAAGGGCATGAACGTAAAATTACTTGGAGACCAAAACATTTCTAAACAACAACAAAAATTTGCCAATATCCTAACATAAAAAATCTACAAGTTGAAGCAGCTCGATAGAAAAACAACAACAACAACAAAATTCTCTGCCTCGTCGCAAATGCAATGCACAAAATTGGATTGGCATTGCAACCTATGGAATTTAAATTTGGCACATCGCAGTTCACTGTCAAGATAACCCCCCTTGAATATCAATAATAACAAGAAACGCTGCCTCACACTTTGGGTGAACCGAGAGTAGTCTGATTGGTGGGGGATTTCCCCACTCGTAAGCGACAGCTACACGGTTTATCTGTTTTACATTGAAAATAGCCAAACGGGTAAATTAATGACAAATCCAAGCAATTCGTATTTAAGAAAACGAAAAAAAAAAAAAGGAGATTACGTCCAAATTAACCGTTTTCTAAAAAAGTTATAAAAGAAACGATATACAAATGCCACTTTTTTCATTTTCACTGAAGCTGGTAATAACTTTTTCCCAACTGGGGAAACATGGGATTTCCATATTTATTTTAAATCGCACTAATGTATAAGATGCTTTCTTCCTCTCACAGAGGAATCCACGTTTTCATTATCAATATATTTTGAATGGTAAAACAATTACACATGTTTATAACACCACCCGTGAATACAAATTGGATAAACTTATGTTGCCCAGATGAAGGAAAAAGCCTTTTTTTTTTCTTTTTTTTTAGCTATATCATTGGTCAAAAGGACAACGATTTAGCCTACTCTTAGCTTCAGTGGACCTCTAGCTGATACAAATCGATGGATTGATATTGCTGACGACTGCTTTCAACGACTGTCGAGAAAATTACAATTCTCGTTCAAAATGGAACCTTTATCTTGCACATATAAAAGGCTTAGATGTTCAAAACGTTTAGCACGTTCTCGTTGTAGTAGCGAATGTGATGGATTATCAATTTCTGCTAAATAGTGTCGGAGTCGTGGAGGAAAACATCCAATAAGTATACTGACAAGTTCTAGTAATGCAACCAATGGTAGCAAACAAAAAACAAAACAAAATTACAATGAGAATATTATGAATATCATTGATGAAAATGACGATATTAATTTTATAGATAATTAAGTTTTGGCCTTAATTGAAGATGGTGACGATGACAGAAAATGAATACGTGATGAAAGAATGCAAAATTGTATATAATATCAGAGATTTTTTTCGGAATATATGCTTCTTTGACGAAAACTTACCGAGTAAAAAGTTACGAGAAAGTGAATTATTTAATACTATCGATAAAGCAA